AGTCCTATGTACCTGCTATTTAAACCCAGTCCAGGAATTTAAAAACATCATGATCAAGTCACTTTTCTATCTTCTTCTCTGGAATCCTGGGTTCTGTTTCTGGCTCTGAATTGTCTTGCTGTGTGGTCTTGGGCCAGTTACTTCCCCTCTCTGAGTCATTGTTTCCTCCCTATTCCCGTTTGTTTCTCTTCTCAATTTAGCTTATGAACTCTTGGGGAACAAGGACTGTCTCTTACTGTGTGCATGTGTAGCACTTGGTGCTGTAGGGCATGATATCACTTGGAGCCTAGATGATAATGTAATATAAATAAGAATTAGAAATTATAATTATTAATAATGTTTGTTATTAATACTGAAAAAAGAAGGAACATATTAAGGATTAAAACTGGATCAGGGTCTTCGGAGGGATGGGTAGCCTTTCATACTCAGTGTTTTCATAGCACCTATTCTTCTGGAACTTGAAAAGCACTTTGCAAAGGTACTTAGTCTTGTTATCCACCTATTTAAGTGTGGAAATTGAGTCACTGATAAGGGAAAGCAAAGCTGGGAACTGATCCTAGGTCATATGATCCAACAAAGAATGGCCCTGATGATCAGTGAGATATCATTTGGGAACTGAGTGGTTGTCTGTGTCCACTGCCTAGTATCTGGGATTGTGTACATGTGCGTATCTGTCTGATGTCTATCTCTGTGCGGAAGGTGGTTTTCCAGCATTACACATCTTTTAACAGTCCAGCTGCATTTACTCCCAAAGTCCTTCTGAAATCTTGTACTTGCTGTGGTTACAGGGGACACGGGAGATAAGAGTAGTTGAAATTGAAGAAGGAAAGATATGTGTTAACAATTGCATCTTCCGCCTGTTTTCTTAGGCTATGTCTACACTAGGAAACGATTTCAAAATTACTAAATTTGATGTGAGAACTCCCAATTTAACAGATTTGAGCTAGCGGGTCCTCACTTTGGGGAAACATCTAAATTAGTTCAAGGCAGGCTCCATTAATGTGGACGTGCTACCTCGGAATTAGAACCTCAGGCAGCACTCTGGGAACCTTCAGGGGGCCTCCCGGAGGCCAATAAGTTTGAATTATTGGCACCAAAGCATCCACACTACCTGAAAATTACTGTTTCACAATGAGTGTTACTCCTTATGAAAAGAAGGACTACAGAGTTCAAATTCCATGGCCCTTTATTTTGAAGTATCAGGCTTGGTAGTGTGGATGTACTGCTTATAAATTCGGTCTTGTGGAGAGTTATTTCAGAATAAGGTCCTATTGTAGACCAGGACTTAGTGCCCTTGGCAGTGCTTTACATAGTCTGTGTCATTGAATCCCCTGCAAAGTCAGCTTACCTGTCATTTTGTGAGGTGTCTCATCCCAGGATATGGCAGAGAAAAACATTTTCATACAGCAGAGGAGATGGTAAAACCATAAAATGTAGCAAGGGGCAGCACCTGCAACTATTTTAAATCCTCTTTTGAAACTGCCTAGCTTACTGATTTGACCTTTAAAGCCTCACTGAGGGGAATTCACCTTTAAGTTCCAAGTCAGTTCAGATGATTTCTTACTCAAATGATCACATTTTATTTTAACTGGACAATCACATTAGTGAGGACTGCTGTGGAGAGTAAAAATGTGTGGTGTCAAGCATCTGGCCTTTAAAAACCCTTCTCTGTGCCATAGCTTATGTCTGCCCTGCAGGGGACATTGTTGTTCCCAGCTTGGGCCAACAGATGCGCACGCACGCACGCACGCGCGCGCACATACATATACATCAAGTTAGCACACTAAAAGTTGCAATGTGGCCATGGATGCATGGGGCACAACTCAAGTTTGCCACTCCTCGGCGCTACTGGACCAACCTAGCAGCACCCCAGCTGCTCTGCCCCAGGCGTCCTGATTCAGCCGCTGCTGAAACTGACCA